TGCAAAACATGCAGGTGTATTGATTGGTACTGTTTGAGCTCCTTTTTAGAACTCTTTTAGCCAAACGATTGAAATCGGAATGGTGCTCATCGGAGGTATCGGAGCGAGCGTCTTTCATCATATCGAGGAAGCAGAAGCTGAAAAATTTGGAACACTCACACTGGGAGTAACTGCTTGTGTCAATTATTTTGTCACGTTTTTTTGAAAAGCCTTGTTAAGTAAGAAGGAAGAAAAATACTGTGTGTGAGATTTACAGCAATGGGTGGCAGCAAATCGCTTTGGAGCGGACATGTTTAAATTCCGCATTGGCACAAGCGATTATCCATATTTGGAAGCGCACAAAAACAACTTCAAGTAGGTTCTTCTGATCTACTCGGTCTTCTGCAACATCTAAATTGCTATTTTTCCTGCCGGAGAAAAGAGTATTATCAGTTCTAGATGCTTGTTATTCTAGGAATGTATTTGGCTGAACTTGCAAATGTAGCACTTCCCTGATTTTGGTCTACTACCTGTTTTAAAATCCTAAGATTGCTTTGACTTCTCTCCGACAAAGGTGTGTGAATCTGGGAAAATTTATTTTCGTGCCCTGTTTCCCCCTTCTCCCCCCTTCCCCACCTCGGCCCTCCCATTTCCTCCTTTTACGCTATTTTTGTTCTTGCTTCGTTAGCAACTTATTGCCGTTCTAAAAAATGCCAGAACAATCACCAAAGAACGCTTCCAAACTGTGTTTAATTTGTTTTATTATTATACTAAGGTGAGGTACTTGAAACGGACTTCTTTTTTGCAAAAGTACGAAAGTGTATTACGAAACCTACTAAGTTCATTTAAATTACAAGTCTGAAAAAAGGATGCATGACCCTTCGCATAAAAGCCACAATAATCATGCGATACAGAATTATGTTTTTCAGGAAGCTGTTCCCGGATATCCGGGTATTCACCATAAACTATCCCAGCGCCAGCTCTGGCTTTCAGATGAAAAGTGACTCGGTGCGTGAATCATCTGGTGCCGGGCTGCTTGTTGCATTTAAAAAAACTATCAGCTGAAACTGTTTTCTATGATACATTTCCAAATGATTCGGCTCGGCTCAACCCCGAGCATTGTTAATTTCATTTATGCAATAAAATATAGTTGAACTGCACAGTTCAAACCTTGCAACTTAGCCCATCTCATTCTCTGGTGCTTCTGTTTCTGTCGAAATCACTGCAAGCAAAATCCTTTTTTTGAAGCTCCTAATCGGTAAGCATGATCGCCGC